CATCTGGACCAGCACTGCGCCATGCCACCTATCCACCCAAAGGCCCTGCCAGTGACCCCCTCTGGACAACACCTTGCTGGAGAAGACCCCAACTAGCCATCGAGGATCAACTCACAGCCCAGGATAGGTAGCTATCACCCAGCTTCCTTCCCCAAACAAAGGACCTGGACTCTGCCCCTACACACTAACTTCAATCTCTCCACCAAGCCTTTTTCTTGCCTGCTACCTCTGTGTGTGTGTGTGTGTGTGTGTGTGTGTGTGTGTGTGTGTGTGTGTGAGAGAGAGAGAAAGAGAGAGAGAGAGAGAGAGAGAGAGAGCCCATCAATAACTTCATGAGCTGTATAGTATACTGCCTGTTTAATAAAACTGAGTTGGTCTCTGTCTTGCTGCAGGCTCCCAAGTAAATCCCCATGTCTCTAACCTCCCTTTGGCCATTGCTCCTCTCTGCTGCCTCTATCTCCACTGGCTCTGACTTTCTGTCCCTCTCTGCTGACCTTCCAGCCCTGCTCCTTGGTCTTCTGTCTGTAGCCCCTGCTGTCCCCCACCTTGCCTCCCTCTTCCTCCTTGATCTCCCGGCTTTCCATTTGTGTCCCAGCACTTCTGCCTTCTTTCCCTGATCTTCCCTGTCTCTCTCTGTTCCCTGTTTGTGCCTCGTCGCTTCTGTTTTCTTTCCCCAATCCTCCTTGTCTCCCTGATCTTCGTTCTCCTGGCTTGCCTCTGCCACCTCCAGCAGCTCCTCAGTTTCTTTCCCGGCCCCCACAGCCTCTCCTGACTCCCCCGCAGTTTCCCCAAACTGGTTCCCAGCTCCCCAGTTTACCTGCAGCCTCTCTGGTTCCCCCCCATAGCTACCATGCTCCCCTGGAACCCCTCTCCAGCACCTGCAGTCTCTCCCGGCACCCCCCCCCACAGTTTCCCCAACCCGGTTCCCAGCTCCCCAGCTCACCCAGTTCACCTGCAGCCCCTCTCCAACACCCACAGCACCTGCAGCAACCCCAACCCAGTTCCCAGCTACCCCAGTTCACTTGCAGCCCCTCTCCAACACCCACAGCACCCCCAGCTCCCCTGCAGTTTCCCCAACCCAGTTCCCGGCTCCCTGGCTCACCCACAACTACCCCAGTTCACCCGCAGTCCCTCTCCAACACCTGCAGCACCCATGGCTCCCCTGCAGCTCCCTGACCCAGCTCCTGGCTCCCCATAGCCTCCCTCAGCTTCCCCACAGTCCCTCTCCAGTTTCCTGGCTCCCCCCAGTCCCAGTTTCCCTCTCCCCATGTACCTCTCAACTCCCCCATAGCCTCTTCACTCTGGCTCTGGCCCCAATCTCTTTGCTGGCTTCTCCCTGGCATCACTCCTTCGCTCTGCCATCTTTTGACTTTTTCCTTTGATTAATTAACACTAATTAACCTTAAGTAACCTCAAGCCCCAGTTACCTTAAGTAACCCCAGGGGCCACAGTAACCCTAAGTAGCCCCAACCATAAGTGACTCCGAGTAACCCCAGGGTATACTGACCCCAAGTAACCCCAGGGGCCACTTGACCTTAAGTAACCCCAAGCCCCAAGTTACCCCAACAGCCCCTAGTATTAACACACAGCCATGAAGGTGCATGGTTGTGTATGTGTACATGTGTGTGTGAATTCATAATGTTGTTTGTGTAGCTTGTGTCATGTCCTCCTGTCTAACAGTGCAATATTGAGATCCCGAGAGTTGATCTGGTATGTGTCAAATCAACACAGCTACATGTCTGGCAGCACTTAGGAATCAAAAACCATTCAGAGATGAGTCTAAGTTAGCATTAATTGCATGGCAAAACAAAATGAAAAAGAAAGAAGCCAAACTCAACAGCAACATATATTTTCAAAGCCTAGGCAAGAAAAACAACATCATTCCGAGAGGTCTAAATATCTACAATCCTCTGGCTACTACACACAACTCCAAATATGCTTCACAACTTTGCAGAAGAACACTTAGAAATCATATTCTTCATGTAACCGACTCCAAAAGAGTTCAACTCAGGAATGAAATCATTACATGCTACAACAACTTAGAAGAGAAAAATCCAGACATCTTCCCAAACATTATACAACATATACAAAGAAACTACCAAAGATTTTCTACAACATCCATCCAACACAAAAAGAAGAAATGGAACCAATTACTCCAGGAACAACTTTCCCAACGAACAATGTTTCTATGATTCTATGAAAGCCATCTTTTTCAAAACTGTTTCCTACTGTTGAATGTTTCCAGATGATGTCTAGTTGGAACTGGTTAGAACAAAGCGATATGACTTGCAGGTAAAATTCTGGCCTACAGGGTCAATGGCAAAACTTTTATTGACTTTAGTAGCACCAGGAATCTATCCTCATGGACCTTCCTATGACTGACCTATAATCAACAATCCAAACAATAGCCCTACTTGAGAAGCCCCAATGGGGGTACGTGCATGGGCAGGGATAGTGCGCCACCAGGTATCATCCCGCAGTGCTGCACAGGTGCTGCTCATTCGGCCGGATGCAGGGGGTGGGGGAAGCTTGCATGCGCCGGCTGCTGCCGCTCCACATTTGGCTGTGCATCCCTCCCTTCCCCCCCGCCCCACTCAACACCCAGCTGCCAGGGGTACACTGCTCTGCGTCCGGCTGCTGGGAGTACACTGATCCAAACAGGTTGAAAACCCCAGAAATAGAGCAAATAAGCCTTATTTTTTTCTGACCCTGTATTTTTTTTTTTTTACTGTAAGCCCTTACAAACTGAGACTGCCTCTTTCTGTGGGTCTGTAAACAGCATTTAGCACAAAGGAAGTTTCAGCCATTGTATTAAGACTAATTTTGAATCATTTGGTCCAATACCAATGTAAACCAAAGGAAACTCCACTTTAGTAGAATTTGTCCAGATTTCTACTAACAACACAGAGTAGAATTTGACTGGGTAGTTTGTATTTTCACTTTCAGAAGCTTCTTTTCCTATAAAAATCATGGAAAGCATACAAATCATGTGTCACAGTTTTGCTATGGTAATATTATCTCGAAGATAGATTATCTCTTGTACCATTTCCAATCCAAATAAGTAATTGCATACAGAAATGGAGAAAATATAGGGAATTGAAGATATTGACAATGCTTACAAGTTAGTAGATCAAGCAATTCACTAAGTTCTACTCCTCTGACCCCAAATCATGATTACAAGATTAAGACCCAAGGAACAAAGGTGCTGCAGAGAAATGAACTGATTGGCTTGCAAGAACTACAAATTTTGCTTTCAATGCCAGGCATGGAAGTTAAACTGGTGCTAATTGCCAACTGCATGGCCCACCTTTTAGCCTCAAGTACACTACAGAACTGTTTAAAATTAGACCTAATATTCTCACTCATGGACTTTCTGAATCTGACTGATTTTGTGGAATGACAGCAGCAAATTTTTAATGATCCACAACTTCAAGAATTTGACTTAGCCAGAGTCCAGCATGAATAATTTCTTTCTTCTTATTCAATTGCCCTTCAGTTTCAGTTGGGAGATATTTTGGTTTTTTTACTTCCTATCCTTAACAGAAATGTAGGGTTGACATGTGCTCTTAGGTAACATTGCTGTTCCACCAAAGTTGTGGCTATGTTCTGGTGGCAAACCCTGCATATAATCTGTAAAGTTCCTGAAGATTATTTTTCTTTATGAGAAGGTTAGTTATTATTTTTTTAATAGAAACTGTTTCCTTCAACCCTATGTAAAGGGAAATTACTCATCGCTGATGAGTAAGGGCTTTTTAAAGGGCTTTTTTGTGTAAATACTAGGCCTGTGCGAAGTGGCTACTATTCCCTTCAGATTTGGATTTGGCTGATTCGGGGGACAGTGATTTGATTCAGTGATTTGAATCACTGTCCTGCATCGATTCAGCCAACTCTCCAAATCAAATAGGCCCCATCCCCCACCCAGCCCAGTCAATGGTGCCCCCCCCAGCCCCAGTGTTTTAAAAAAAAAAGCCCGGCACTCACCAGCTCCTCCCAGGGGTGGGGGGGTTCCCACTGCCCCCCATTGTCCCACACTGCATGGGGGGCCTCTTCCATGAGCCTCCATGCCCTTCCCACTCTCCCAGTCCCATCAATGGCTGCCCCACCTGGCCCTAGCATTTTTTTATTTTTTTTAAAGAGCACCACACTCACCAGCTCCTACCAAGTGTGGGGGGTGATCCCTGCTGCCCTGCACTGCATGGTGGGGCTCTGCTGAGAGCCCCCAGAAATCCTAACAATCACTGCAGCATCCAGTAAGTGTAGGGCTTTAAAAAAAAAAAAGTGCCAGGATGCTGGGGCTGGGAGAGCACCTGTGGGATGGGGGCTGTGGCAGAGCCCCTCATGCAGCACAGGGCAGAGTATTTCCCTCCTGCCTTGCAGCAGCTGGCGAGTGCAGGGCTTTTTTTTTTTTTCTTTTTAAGAGCCGGGATGCTGGGGCTGGGCAGGGCAGCCATTGATGGGGCTGGGAGAGTGGGCAGGGGCTGGGGAACACTCAAGGGGGATGGAGGATCAGGCAGAGGATGGGGCCAGGTGGGGGTCCCTCCATGGACCCTTCCCTCCTCCTCCAGCCCCCGGCCCTGGCCCCTACTTATTGGCATGGAACCCAGGTTCAGCTCCCTGAAGTGGCAAGCAAGGACTGCCCAAATAGACAAATCTCCAAATCTTTTCTTAATTGATTTGGAGGCTTTGAATCTATTCAGACCTTTTTATTGGTCTCCTGATTTGATTTGGATTTGGAGATTCAGCCATCAAATCAGGCCAAATCTCCTCTGAATCAAATCAGCACCAGAAGTTTTGCACAGCCCTAGTAAATACAACTTTTCAGGCTATCAGGAAAAACCTACTCATTTCAAAACATTACAAACACTCCCAAGCAAATGCAGAGCAAGGGAACTTCTCCCTTTCTATTTATTTTTTTCTTTCCCTAAAGTACACATTATATTTGAGCTTGCTTCACATTGACCTTTGGTATTCCAGTGATAGCCATTTTAGAGCATGGTGCTCATAACATAGACAGGAAGCTACTTGAAGTAATTTTCCTACATTTATGATGATTATGCAGCCTGTTGGAAGATCACAGATGCTGGTAAGAGTCAGGAAGATTATTCTGATAACTACACCACCCCTTTCTTTTAATGACTGCTATGCTGTTGTCTTTTTGTTTTCTGTTTAGCTTCGCATATAGATCTTCAGTTTAAATAACTGTTTTGGACCTATGGGAGCTGATTCTGAAAAACACAGACCTTTACTTTTAGTTGCAATTTTATGAATCTTTCCTATGATGAGTGACCTTGAATAGCTGCATGATATTGATTCGAATCTTGATTTGTTACTGAGGAAACAGGCTCTTTAATTCTACAGGATATATTTTCATTTGTTCCCAGAAGTAGTTTCCTAATGTTCACAGTGAAATGTCTTTAATGCATAAATCATTATGTGAAAAAGGGGCTGTAAACGGCATCTATTTATAGCCATTGTTATCTTTGTTTATTATATCTATGTACAATGGATAACAGCAGTAACCCACTTTTGGAGAATGTACTAATAGATCTGGATGAAATGCACGGTATTATTGATTGCAGTTATTTATAAGCAAAGTTGGTAGCACTGCCTATAGCAGAACCACTGGTAGCCAGTGCCTCATGCTAAGTTTTTTCTGATACTTCCCATTTTATAATCAGGTTTGCAAATCACTGAAGCTGGCCAAACTTTCACCATTTGGCCTGAAATGCTGTGTATTTTGGTATCTGCCTCAGGCTTAACTTTCTAGAAAACTATAGTCTAAACACTTCAGCCCTTTTAGCAGCAAATCTAGTAGAAAATACATTGTTTAGCCCATGGTACAAATTTTTGACAAATTCTCTCTAATAAGTTTCAGTTTAGGAGCTGGGCCTTGAAATGTGTTTGGGAGGGGCTGAAGAAAAAATGGCCTTTATGTTAAGAATGTGCCATTTGCTGTTCCTGTAAAAATCTGACCAAATTAGACCAAGTTAAAAACCACTGGGAGATTTCAGCTACCACATAATCAATCCACAGCTAGATTTCCAAAAGACTCTATCCATACTAAACCTAATCCAGCCTGATCAGGACTTTCTCTGCAGTTACACCTGTTGCTGCTCTGTGCAAGGCAAGAATCAATCCCTGAAACTGAGAGCACAGAGTACAGGCAGTCCTCTGACTTACGACACAAATGGTTCCTGAAAACCGCAACTTAAGTCGAAACTTTGTAACTTGGAACCAATTTTCTGATAAGAAACAATGTTATAAAATGGGGGATTGGTTCCTGAATCAAGGCCCAATACCCTATTGTCACCAAAAATACCCCAGATTTGTACTCGATCAATTATACATGAGTAATATAGCTACTTTAATATATTAATATTGTAAATAGCAATCATATTGATTTGGAAGGAATTCTTTGAGGTGACTTTGCTGGACTTTTTGAAAGGCTCTTGATTGGAGTCTTCTCAGGAGTCTTGGCTGCAGGTTTTTCTGGAGTCTTGTTTGCTTTCTTAAAGAAAGTGTCCAAGGAAGTTTGGACAGATGTTCTCCAGGGGGATGAGCGACGCAGTGAACTTGCTCGCTGGCATGGCATTGTATCAAATCAAGCATTGTAAAGTCAAAACTTACATCATAAAGTTGAAACAGGGTGTCAATTTATAAACGTTGTAAGTGTGAAAGGTTGTAACTCAAAACATTGTAAGTTGAGGACTGCCTGTATTCTCAATGCATTTCTGCTAAAGCCAGGCAACATAATGGAGGACGCTGCTTGATTCAATACAGGCAACACACAGGGAGAACAGTGCTTGGACAGGAGTAGGGGTCAGGGTAAGCCAGAAGGAAGTAAGGAAATGACTATTCAAGGAGAGAGAGAGAGATCAAGACTGCAAGTTAAGATGGGGTTGAGACCAGGAAAAGTCAGGCAAAGAAGCTTGGAGCAAGAGAGAAATAAATGGCTTTGGTGAGGGAGAGACTGATCGTGGATGGAAAACTGGGTAATGATACTGGACTAAGCAAAGAGACTGGCCTATAAGCTAGGGGAAGAGGAAGAATTAGGTAAGGTAAGAGAAGAGGCAGTTTTAACAAGTCACAGCATAAGGAATGAACTGGCTAAAAAAAAAAGGAGAGGGAGACCGGGAGCTGAGGGCAGAAGAACAGCCACTGTAGTTGGATGAGAAGCCCAGGGAGAAAGAAAAGTTCTAGGTGGTAGTGAGTAAAGGAGACTACAGGGGAGGGAAAAATGACAGAGGATGAAACCAAAAGTTGGCATGAGGGAGTAGTGTGAATTGCTAGGAAAAAAACAACTGGCTAGAACAAGAAGCCTGAAGAGTTGGGACTAGCACTGGCTGAGTGAGAAGGGAATGGGGAGAGGAGCCAGCATTGGAAGAAACCATATTGGAACAGGGAACAAACTGATAAGAACAGTCAAAAAAAAGTCTGTCCTTACTAAAGCACACTCTGCTCCAGAACCCAGAATGAGACTCATGTTCCTCAGATCTCTCCATTCTTCTGCTGCCATCACCTACTGCTGATCCATATAGAGGAGTGATTCTCAACCTCAGTGCCATGCCACCTTGAAGTGCCTTGAGATCCTTTTAAGGATGTCACAGTGGGCACTGTTAGGGGTACAAACATGATTCACAAGATACATCTAGAGTTTTCAACTAGGAATTCATACTGTTAAAACATTCTAACCTGGTTGTGTTCTTTCTTGAGTTCTTTGCAACAGAAGAATTGTTCTATTACTTTTCTATGGTCAAAAAATGAGTGAAAACTAAGAGCTGGCATTTTCTGAGAGGTTCTTTCAGTCTAACAAGGGGACCCCTCAAGTCTAAAAAAGTTGAGAACCACTGACATAGAGGATAAAATCATACTATCAACTATGGTTAGCTCAAGTAGCAGAGGTCTGAT